GCTGAATATTTAATGCTGTGGGCCTAATTTTCAGCCAGAGGTCCTGGACATCTTGTTTAGATACATGGCATCAAGGATTCATGGTATTTGGATCAAATACCAACCGATAAAAAAAAAAAAACTAGAAATCTTATAATAGGCCATGTTTGGATCTTCCAACAGGACAGTTATCCAAAAACAAATATCAAAATCAAAACAAAAATGGGTCACTGAGCACAAAACCAAGCATCTACAGTGGCTGTCCCAGTCCCCAGACCTGAACCCTATAGAAAATGAGTGGGTTGAACTGAAGAGAAAAAGCACCAACATAGATCTGGAAATCTGAAGGATCTGGAGAGATTCTGTATAGAGGAATGGTCTCTGATCTCTTGTCAGGTGTTCTCCAAACTCATCAAGCATTATAAGAGAAGACTCAGAGCAGTTATCTTGGAAAAAGGAGGTTGCAAAAAGAATTTAATAAAAGTCAGCAAATTATTCTTCCCAATGTGTTTTGGAGAAAAACATAAAAAGAATAAACAATGCAGATTTATATTTTACAGCCATTTTTGATCATATTTACCAAGGGGGCAAATAATTCTGACCAGCACTGTACGTAGGTATAGAGAGACTCAAACATGTAATATATATATAACTTTATTATTACAGACTCAATGTCCAAAAAAAATATAAGCTCGCATGTAGTCATTTTTAAAGCTTTACCTATTGATTCTAAAGGGTATTATATTACTTATTTATGTATATATTTATTTGAACTAAATACTTAATTATAATCATTAAACTAAAATGGCTCGTGTGTAATGATTATATTAAAAGTTATATTTAAAAATATCCATCATATAAAATAATCATAATAAATAATAATCACTATCATTTTGTCTTTATTATTATTTTACTATGCAAAATAAACTGTGAGAGTGACTTTGTGTCGGAAAAGTGTCACTTTGCTCACAGCTCCCATTTTGGCTTGAGATCTCTTACCTAGAATATAACTTTTCCCGGAGCAGGTTAGCCGTAGAGCATAAATTACTATGGTCTTATATTCTAAGACGTGATATACGTGGGAGTGTTTTACTTGTCCTCTGCTTTGTTGTGTTTGTTTTCTTTCTGCTAAAGACTATCAGGTGGAGTTCAATCAATTGTTGATTTTGTTGATGAACCAGGCTAAAAGTCACTTTCATAGTGCATGAAACCCAGGGATGGCACAAACACACCTCTATCCACCAAAATTGGGTTCATGGTATAGGCTCCAGTTTTGATTTGGAATGTCTTATCCAGAATAAAACCTGCTCCAGAGCAGGTTAGCCGTGTAGTGCAAGATAACATGGTGAAGAACACAGACCACCTTCTTTAACTCGAAAAACCAGAGTTTGCTCAAACTTAACTGGGTAGCCTAGCCACTGAAACCAGCTTTTTATAATAGACCACAGGGGGTTGAACCTCCATTCAATTACAAAACCAAACCTTCAAATACTAACCCACACTTCTCCAACCCTGTGATGGTTCTGAGTGGTGATGGTTCTAAGGAAATAGTAATATAGTAATAGTAATACTAGTAATAAATTACTCACCTGGTAGAAGTTTTGCTTCTAGTTTCTTGATGGGCAGTTGAGGACTTTTCTTTGAATCAGTCTGTGAAACATTAAGAACACTTAAAATCACATGATCACTTTCAAATATTTGAGAGAAAGTCCTGACTAGATCTTTACCCTCAACAAATCTCAACAAATTTAATGAGTCATTTCATCTGAACGTCAACATTTGTCATATTTAGTCAGTCAAATTGGTTAATATTGATCTAATTACGTGTCTCTGGAAAATAGTGAATAGTGACATTGCATTATGTTGAATAGCAAATGTTTTGTGTCAATTTGTTAATGGGGAATTTGAGGACACATTAAAGTTTTTATAATTGTTGAGTACTTTAAAACCTTTTTGGTAACACTTTATTGGGTGACGTAGTTACACGTTAATACATTTATTTACTATAGTAATAACAGTAAATTATGCATAATCATGCATAAACCCTAACCGTAACTCTAGTAAGTACACTTACATAAGATGGGTACAATGTAACTACGTCACCTTAAAATAATCTGAAAAAAAGATACAAGATGTCTCCCAAGTTAGAGTAAGGATTGGGGTTTGATTAAGGGTTAATTGCATGCAATTATGCATAATTTATAATTATTACTACAGTATCTACATGTAACAAGTCACTGTAAAAAAGAGTTACCATAATTCTATATTTCATTGTAAATTATGGGGTTATTATTCAATAATTCCATTAGTTAGACGAACATTTCAAACACGTTACTTTTTTGTTTTCCTTAACACTGGCTGATGCACATGCTAAATTTATATGATGCAATTTAAAAGTAAATCCACATTGTTATTCATTACCCATTATCCTATAAGTCTGAAAACATGGTAGTGCCGTGGTCCTTTTGAATACTTAACTGAATAACAAAGTAACCTCTACGAACAGCTGACACCTGGGTTACGGAGTTACCACTTTTAAACCAAGAGAATACTACAGAATGAGGTTGCCAGTCGTCCAGGTGTCAAACATATGTAGTGACACAGTTTTCATAATAGTTTAATAAATAAGACTAATGACACTGTCTTTAGCTGCTAGTCGTTAGCATGCTAGTGTCTGTCTCACTCACCTGAAGTGGAGGAAGATACGACTTAAAAGTAGCCTTCGTTTGTTTACCGGAGAACATAATTTAAACCGGACGATTTCACATAAATGTGACCTGTAAATCCATATAAGAGCGTTTTAAAACTCTTAAAATATAAGCCAAACTGTTTTGGGTTACTTCATTCCTTTAAATCCAGGGTTTCTTCAGCAGCTGATGCGTTTACATGCATAGTTTCCATAAATGCAAAAGCAGTTTTTCGTCTCTGTTGTGCATGCAGTAATATCTCAGCTGGATCTGGTCTGTGCCGCTGAAGTCTCTTCGTTAGCGGCTGTCAAACTCAAACTTTTGCTGCTTTAGTTTCCCACTTTAAACATTCACGTCATGCTCAGTCTTCTTGATTCAACAGTTTGAGTGAGTGTGAGTCCTGTAGTGGTGTGCAGAGTGCAGGCGGACTCAGTTCTATAATTCACCGTCCGTTTTCAGTTCAGCCATGTTTATTAAAGGCGAAATGGGGAGGTGCAGCGTGCTTGAGCTCTGGACCACAAAAAACAGGAGGAGTGAGCTATGGCGAGCACTCTGGACCATTGAAGCGTTTTATTTTAAAATGTTTAAATTGTCCATAACATTAGATAAAATTTATTACATGAACACATTTATTTGAGTGAATATGTAAACTTTGAGGTGGAATTTAGCCTACTAGAAATTTACACACAATTACACATTTAAAATTATTTCAAAATCCCACTATTTAAATGATTCGCAATTGCGTTGCAATGTCGAAAACAACATGCATGTATAGTTTTCATATTGTGCATAGTTTGCCTTGAGCGTATTATTGTACTCTTAGCGCCATCTGCTGGAATTATCTGAATCCTACAAGGGTTCAGTCTCTATAAGGCCACAGAGGTTGACTTTTAGCTCCCCCTTCTGAACGTCATGTTGAGCTTGACCTAGTCCAGCTCCAGCTCTGTGGGTCTTATGGGTGGAGGGATAGAGTTATGGGTTGGGTTAGGTGTTCAAACTCCTGGAGGGCCACTGTCCTGCAGAGTTTAGCTCTAAGGCCTTGATTAGCTGGTTCAGGTGTGTTAAGGTTAATTGGGGTTGGAGCTAAACTTTGCAGGACAGTGGCCCTCCAGGTGCAGGATTGGACACCATTACGCTCAAATTACATCTAGAGGGGAGTTTGACTTCACACTCCATCCGTTTTCCCTGCATTCACATGATGAAAATAGATCACTGCTTTACTCAGAATACCCGTATACCAAATGCAAATATGAAATGTAATAATCCAAAAAAATTTGCTTGTAGTGGTCGGTATGATTTAAAAAAAATGTTTTAAAAGTTTCACGCTCACCAAAGCTGCATATGATAATAAATAATGAGAACGGTAATATTGTACAATATTAGGCTATTACAATTTTTTTTGTTTTCTATTTTATATATATATATATATATATATATATATATATTTTAATTTTTTTTATTTTTTACAATTTTCAACAGCCATTACTCCAGGCTTCAGTGTCACATGATCTTATAGAAATCCTTCTATCATTCTAAAATCATAATACATTAGCGTTTATTTTAAATATACATCTTTTTTAATGATCTAATTAAAAATAAGTTTAATAAGTTTAAACTAAAAAACTAAAATAAGTTTAGGGTGAAGTATTTTGTTAAGTTGTCTTGGATTATTAGCCTAGGTTTGACTCCTGCATTCATGAACATGATCTGTCACAAGTTTCTCTCAACATATTGTCAAAGTTTTTTTTTTTTTTTTTTTAATAAAGATTCCCCTTTTAAAAATTATCTACTAAAAGATGAATATAAGCTTTCATGGTTATGGCTGGGGAAAGAGTTTTTATTTTGATAATTTGATTATCAATATTTCAAAGTATGTAATATAATAGAATATACTTTATATAAATATACATTTTGATTTTTTTTTTTTAAATGACCTTGCATGAAAACCTGGGTTTGAACTGGATAGGGGAAAAAACATCCTGTTGTAAGCTTTTTTTATGGAATAGACATCAATATCACTTGTAAAATAAAAGGTTTTAATCTATAAATACATAAATAGAGATTACTATAATACATGATTTCATACGTACATACATACAATAATAAAATTTGCTTCAATAATATTGCAAATTTCTATACCTAATGGAATAGTTTATTGCAGTGATAGTCATTTATTTTACGCAGCCACACTGCGCATATAGGACACGCTTTAATACGCCTGAATCATCTGGTGGGATTCCCTTCGGAATGACGCGCGGCGCTCCCATTGGCCAAAAGCAACGTACGAAATTCTCCATTTATGGGTTGTTTGTCTCTTTGATTCCGTCAAGCAAGTAGCAGCAGCCACAAAGTTGAACTTTGTATTGTAGAGCAGACGCTCACTGCAGTACAGTCAGTCAGTGCGCTCGAGTTTACCGGTGCGGTGTATACTATTATGGAGCGGCGACACTGGTCCTGAGGAGACATTAAACAGCACGAGAGGCCAAAAGAGACTGAGACATCACACCGAGAATTTCAAGAGGTTTATTTTAACTTAATAAACAGTTATAAAACGGATTATAACAGAAGTACTGCTGCGCTGCGATAACGAATAAAAATGGTAAGTGAAAATGTCGCCTATCGCCTACAGAGATAAAAGAGATAGCCTGTATAGGATACAGTCTGCTTCCAGCATCCTTATAGACATGCAGAATGCTGATGCTTGGTGTGATCATTTTCAACTTCTTTCTATAGTCTCATGGATGTGAACATTAACGAAATCTTATTGGCTACTAATATATGTAACCTGCTTGTCATCATAAATGCTTAAAATTCAAATAAAAAGGTTTTCAGTGCGGTAAAAAAACAAATACAAACTTCTACTAAAGGTTTTTTTTTATTATTATTATTATTCTAGAGGAATTACAGACATTTAAATATAGGCCATATCAGGGATTTGTAAATGTACATACACCTTATGCACAATTTAAAATTAATATTTTTTATTCTATTGCCACTTTATTATTATGATATTATCATAAAGGTGGTGTCTGGTCTACTGGACAAACACCTTCAGTTGCGTTGGGTGTCATATTCAGCTATTGTTTGCCCTCCTTCTCTTGTTCACTTGTCCCAGCCCTCCTGAACAGGTTGTAGCAATTTATACTGGTCCCGGTTACAATCCAGTTTCTCATTTTATATTTTACTGCTTATACTGTTGAGGCTTCAGACATGCTTGAATCGATAGAGATCACTATCATGTTTTCACTTTCTCAGATCAGTGTGGCAGTTACACACATTGTAGTATTTTTTTTCTTTACTCATTATTGACGTATTCTTTCAAGTCATCCTGACTTAGTGTTACGTAATAGTGGAAAACTGCAAGTTACACACATTAGTGTCCATGGTTACAGCACACAGAGAGATGCAGGAAGATGTCGTCGCATGTGAAACTCCCTTCCGTACTCATGCCCATAAGGATGGGTTGGGTTCTGCTTTGAATAAGTGTGTGTGCTTATTCGTGTGTCCACAATGAGACCGTTTCCTCTTGTTTTGGTGGAAAACGACACCGTTTTTCATAGCTCCTCAAGCAATATGTTACACTTGATTGTTTTCGGCTTTGTATGATCCCAGATCCCATGGCAAGATGCTTTCACAGACCCTGCTTGTCTCACATTCAGTGTCCTTTTCGGCCTGTCAGCTGGCGAAGAACTGTTACAGATCAGGTGAAAAACCAGTAAATCCAGTTCAGCCGTCTCTTCAGTGCACACATAGACATTCTCTGCAAGCCATGTAGCTGGTGGAACTAGTTTTCCCTTGGGCTTTGCACATATGGGACAAACCCTATCTGTACAGTCTCTGAGCTGCCTCTGGTATTTAGTATGTATTTATTACAATATTATAATTCGGTCTTCATAAAGCATTTTCATGTAAAGAAAAGGATACTTCTGGTTGGCTGTGCTCATGTGGTCACAATATTACAGATACTTATAAGTGGTCCATTAAGATTAGTGTGTGCAAACATTCTAATGTTATCCTGCCTGTAAATTCTCCACCCATTTCTAATGTCACTAACTCGGTATGACCTACAGGCATCTATACTATATATATATATATATATATCATATAAATATACTATATATATATTTTTGAGCTGTATTTGTTTTGACTGCAGTTTTATGTCAGAGTATTCTTTATGAGTCTATTGAGTTTATGAGTCTATGCTCATTTTACTCATTACTCATGAGTCTACTCTACTCATGAGAGCTCAAAGTATATGGAATGATTTCCAAAAACTGAACCGGCGGTTAATTTATGTTACACAACAGTACCCAATTTTTATGATCTATACCAGCTGTGAAAGAGCAATTTAAATTGATTATGTTGCCTATTACATCACTCTCAGTTCCCTATATGCCTGATCAGCTGTATTTAGAAAAATAATTCATAAAGCTTTGTATATAGTATTATTAGGACATTTTTGCCCATATTGCCCACGATCAGGCTGAACAGAAGGCCACAAGATACCATTGTTCTTCTTGTTTCCTCTCCAGTGTCTATCTGGGTCCCGTTTGCTTGGTCTCCATTCAGAAGTTGCTTTACAGGTTAAGCTATAGTAGCTTGGTTCACTTTCTTTTTTCCTCCTCTGGACTGTCTCCTCTCGTCTTCTTTCTTTCTCCGCCAGATCCTGAATAGTAGGTCAGTATGGCAGCATATGTTTTGCATTAAGAGCTGCAGAGGGGCGGTACATGCTGAGTAACATCCCCCTATTCAAAGCATCATGTCACACCGCCACAGGATTGCTGAGGAATCCAGACTCTTTCTGAAAGAGTCAGCTGCCCTCACCTAAACAAGAGAAAGATCTAGCATGATGGCTGGCATCTGTGGTCCCCATGCAGTCCTTTCATTTAGTGGGGTTATTTTTGTACATGAACATGTTCAAATGAATATCCCTTAATATCAGCTGGCCTCTTTGATGCTGTTTTATTGTTGGTTCTGAACTACACTTAACTGAGATTGTTAAAAACATCCAATTCAGAACTTCACTCCCAGTAGGTTAGATATAAAAGATAATATCCACTGATGTGTTCAAGTTAAGATTCATGTGGTTTGTTTACTGAACAAGTTGAAAAGGATGAAGGGAAACATCAGTTAGACTGAAATAAACCCTTAATTGAAAAATCTCTATTGACTTTTTCTTTGTAATTTGCACCATATGTTGATTAACATGTTTGCCCTTTTTCAACTCTTTGAATGGTGGTTTCTATTGACTTCAGCCATGTAAAATGTGAAGATCATGAAAGTAATTTTGTTGAACTCGAGTGCCTCTTCACCATACAAGCCTTCCACATACAGTACAGGAGCGCCTCTGTTGAATTCGTGATCATGTTTCGGGAGGGATGTTCACCGTCAGGCCCTCTCTTTGATCAGTGCCCTTCCCTCATATTACAGCGCCCCTGTCCACATACACTACTGGTCACAAAAGTGTAGGGTCAGTGGGTCTCATTCACTAATAATTCATATTTATACAAACTTCTCACCAAAACTTTCAGCCTAATTCACAATACGTGCGTATGCGTATTAATTTGTTCTTAACCTTGTTCTTATGTTTATGAATTGGAGTATCCTAAATGAGTGATTGCGTGCCCCGGGTAAATAATTTACATAAAAAAACACCAAAACCATGTCTATATAAGGGCCTTCCGCACGCCCCATTTCTTTTGTCACACTCAGCAAAAAAAAAAAAAGACTCAAAATTAGACACATTCTTGTCTGAGAGCACGCCCAGCAAGATCTTCAAGCAATGCCAAGAGTGCATCCTCAAAACGAGTATAAACGCAATAAACACCTTTTATACAGATATTACAGACCTATGATTAGCCAGCAGTGTATCTGCTTCTGTATGCAGCTACCTCTCAATCTGGATATGGGTATAACCATTAGGCCACGGTTTTAACAGTATTTTTCTTTTGGTTACTCTTGTGAAATCTCACTTCATCCGCATTAAAAGGTGTTTAGACTAATGCAGAGCAGGCCCAGTTTCCTTAAGGAGTTGTTTTTGAGAGATGTGCTGTCAGCTGTAAAATGAGATCATTGTCACTGCCCTCCGGCCAGCTCACGTTCGGCTCCTCTCACCTTGCCTCTCCTGTTTCTCTCATCTGAAAAAGTCTCTTATGTGGGTTCACTGGTACATCTTCTGAAAGCAGGTCAAGGGGACTGCTAAAAACATGATATCAAATATTGTTCAGTTTTGAGAGTGGATAAAAAGTATGCTTGTGTGCCTCATAAACAGTCATAATGCGTGCAGGAAAGTCTCTAGTTAATAATATACAGTATGTGCAAATTCATGGCTGATGTTTACTTACTGATAGAACAACTCGTAATTTTACAGCTCTGTTTTAATCAGGTACAAAAACCTTTGGTTGGATTAAAGTTAGTATTAAATGCTAAAAAAAACTAAATTAATGTTTTTTACATGCTATTTTAACACAAAATGGTACTCTAAAAGAGAGAGTGAATTCTTACAAATACCTAGGTATTTGGTTTGATGATAAATTGTCCTTTGGGGTCCATATTGAGAGCCTTTTGGGAAAAAAAAACAGACCCAAGTTGGGTTTTTATTTTAGATTAAAGAAGTTCTTTCCTTATTTAGCAAGGTAAGGGTTGGTGCAGAGCACATTCTTATCAGTTTTTGCACTATGGTGACCTAATTTATATGCACTCTACTTCATCTTTATAAAAAAAAAAAAAACTAGATCACCACTCAGCCTTATGTTTCATTACAGGTGCAGCAGCTATAAGACTCACCATGCACTCTGTATGAAACTGTACAATTGTTCTCCCTCTCCTTTAGAAGAAAAATACATTTAATGATTTTTATCGCATTTATTATGGGTAAATCCCTCTACATTTCAAATTTGCTTACTTACCCAAAAAAAGTGTTTAGAGGACAAGGTTGTCAAGAAAAATTCTAATAATTATTGCATCAAAAAGAACTGAACTTGGTAAAATAGTTTTCTCATCATATGCAACAAATGTCTGGAATGAGCTCCAAAATACCATAAGTCAACTTTGACAGAAAAATGTCATTGATTTTAACTAGGTGCCCTTTAAATTGTATGTCTGTATTTGCATGTAAGTAGGTACAATGTTTTGTCAGTGTATGTTTAGAGATTTGTGGTGTAATATGTATTTTTTGCACTGTCTTTTATTTCTTTCTCTTTTTTTTAAATAAAAAAAATATTGGCCAGGACTCCCTGTAAAAAGAGTTACTGTATATCAATGGGACTTTTCCTGGTTAAATAAAGGTTAAATAAAAAATAAATAAATAAATAATTAGTTTAAAGGGTACATATCATGCTTTTAAATCATTCATTTTAACATATAAATCATACCGTTGTGGTCTATATAAAACATAACTGCAATGCTTGGGTCTGAATTCCTCATTATTATAGCTCTACAAGCCCCTTTTCTACCCCTTTTCTGATGTGCGTCTTTGAGCGACCCGTTTCAAAGCGGCCCCTTTAAATAAAAAGGAGATTTGTCATACCCCGCCCGCTCTCCAGGTCGATGAGTTCACGGTCAGTTCAACTCCCCACGTTCGGCCATTATTTTAGTTTG